GCAGGGCCTTTCTTCTTGCTCTCCTAAAACAAAGTTCAACTTCTGTGCATAGACTTTGAGTGAAGGTTACCCCCGCAGAACTCACCTGCCTGCCTCAGCCATAGGGGATGGGCTGGATACAGATATCTGGGCCATAGGAGCACCCGTGTAATGTAGTCATTGTGTGATTATCCAAACACACTATTTCTGTGTCTAAATCCAGAGCATTAGCCCACTTGGATTTTTATAGTTTCCTCCTACAGCTCTTCCTTAAAGAAAGGAAGTTGAAGCAAATATCAAGCTTCAAGAGTCATGCTGTATGGCTAATTAGGGTGCAAGATTAGCAATCTTTCATGCTGAGCCCCTGTACCTGCCTTGCTGGAGTTCTCAGTTTCTCTGTAAGCATAGGAAAGAATATCTCTCTCTGCGTCCTCTATGATGTATAGGGCAACACTCCAGCCATCTCTCTCGCATCAAAGTCTTTGATAGAACTGTGGTTTACTATAAAACATTTGTAACTGAGTTGGTATCCTTGATGCTCATAGTAATAATGTTGTTCATCCAATAACCCAACGCAGGGAAAGTGAGTGTGGATCACCTGCTCCCTGGGCACAGATTTTAGCTGTTAGATATACATGTTTTCACTGAACTTTGTTCTCACTGCAAAACGCTTCCAGGGTACCTCCTAGATTCATCAGCTCTCAGGTGCATCTGAAAAAAAAGTGAAAAAAGCTTACATAATGCCATGTTATGTAAACCTGGAAAAACTAACAGTGAATTTATTAAACAACACCAGGAGTTATTTAAGAACTAAGTGCAGGAGGAATTGTGGTACAGAAAATGCGCTATTTTTTTTTCTACTTCTGCACTACTGTATCTTCCCATTTTTTTTCTCAGTTTGAATACTCCATATGTTTGCTGTTTCTGCGTTTCTCGTGTTTTCCTCCCTCGGTTCCCCTGCTGTACCACATTTACCTTTTCTGATTCTATGGGAATCAAATTTGCCAAGCAGACTTTCTCTGCCTACTGCATTTTATGATCATTTGTATGCAGAATGCAATCTATATTAGATCCTAAATATATATCAAATCCAACATGAGTTTTCAGGTTTGCAAAATTACATCCCTGCCTCTGCTGATCCATCTGCAAGTGGGTACCATATGTCAGTTACTTTATCAGGAAACTTCAGGGGGATCCATTAGAGAGAGTCCGCAGCATAATTAGAAAAAAGAACATTTGTTTTCCCAGCTGCCCTGTTTTCATCCTTCCTCTTCAAATGTTCTGCTGATTTCAATTAAGCTCACCATAGATGCGCCAGCCTGGTGAACCTGGGGAACTAAGTGCTTTAAAACTTAATATCTTCCTTGCAAGGCGGATTTTCTTCACTTGGTTCAGCTGTAATCGTAAACTCCTCAAGGGATGCTGTCACAAAATTCTGCCTCGCCATGAAGCAGCGCTGGGGCCTGCAGGTGAGGCAGTACCATCACATAAGGGTGAGCAGCCAAACCTCAGCAAACCCCAGCAGTGAGGACGTGCCCTTTGGGAAGGACTGTGGGCAGCACGCCAGTGGCCACAGCGCCACCTCCAGCCCTGCTGGGGTCTGCCTGGGTGCTCGATAGAACACAAGGGCAGAAGCAAATCCCCATCCAGCTCTTGAACCACGTTGTATTGGCGATGTCCTGGGCTGACTGTCCTCCCCAGCCAGGGAGTGACCCAGGGTACTGCAGGACCCTGAGCAGGGCTGCCCAGTGGCTCCTGCTGCCTCTGCCCAGGCTGGTCACTGCTGCGGTGGTTCCCGTTTCCCAGCCCGCTCCGGGAGAGGCAGCGGATGCCACGCAGACATCCTGCCAGGGCACCGGGCTCTGCGTTCAGCCGCAGGATTAATATTTGTCAGCTGGTTTTCCCTCTTCCTCCTGTCCAATGGGAGAAGCCTGTGCACAAATCATTTTATTTCATTAGGGAGTTCTTTTGTTTTCATCTGTCTTTTTAACCTTGTTTGTAGAGGCCACTCTGTTTACAGTAGAGAAAACAAGGGCAAAATACGCATCTGCTTTAGGAGCACAAAGTGGTGGGGCTCACAGAGCTCATCTTGCAGCCTTGGCTGGTCTAAAACAAGCTCTGCTGCCTCCACGGATGAATTTATCCTTAATATGGCCAGTGCGGTCGTGGCAGAGAAGCAGACTTCTTTCCCTGAGGCTTGCCATGGTCTGCTGGACACCTCGGTGCCGGCTCACAGAGTGTCTATGAGATTGTCCTGAGCCATTGCACCCTGTTCAGCTCTCCATGGTTAACCCCAGCAGAGCTCAAAGGATGGTCTAGGGGATCAGGTGCATCCACACAAGCTGGAAATAACTAATGGCACATGTAACCAGATGAGACTGCACCGTGGTGGCAACGGCATGTCTCTGCCCACCAGCTCTCCTCGCATGGTTGAGGGCCACCTCCATCTGTTCAGGGCCTCTCCTAGCAAGGGTGCAGCCGTGTGTGGTGAAGGTTAAGTGCAGCTGCATCCAGAGCTTGCTGCTGATAGCCAAGTTGCTTCCTCTAAAAGGCTGAACCTCCAGCTGAGATGAGGTTGAAGCAGGCGTTGAGTAGGCTGAGATGAGTTAAGTCCGGTGGAATAGGATCAGTAGGAGGCGTATGGGTGAGGTGTGCTGCTCAGCCAAAGCATCCCTCTTGGAGTGACTCAAACCATTAACCTCACCAGCTGTTCTGGCCTCTTCCTGCTTTGTCTTAGGTGAGATAGCATCCCAACAAGTGAAAGCCCATTGCGCAGCCAAATTTTTAATGCTTACTGCTTTAAGTTCACCTATCTGTCCATTCTCATTTGCAAGCAATATACCCTGTGTATTCCCTCAGCTCAGGTGCATTGAAACATCCTCTGTTTCTCCCCACTTTTTCTCCTGTATCTGTTGTTCTGCCTGGTGCAGTTCGCACGTCCCACCAGTGCTAGTATCCATGATGTATTTTAAAGCAATTTGAAGTTCAGCATTGTTTTCTCAGGTCAGACTCTTACTGGAGAAAATCCCATAGGAAGATGTGCCTTTATGCATTGCATTGTCTAGAGAGCTTAGCAATGCAACTGATACGGAGTGCCAGGAGTGCCTCGTTTTATTTAATTAAAGTAGATGGGGTTTAGCTGCCAATATACAAGTTTTATTCTTTTTCACTTTTTTGTGTAATTACCTGTGGAGATCCACAAGGAAATAAGGGAGGAATGGTTATTTAGCCAAAGGGAGTCAATAGCTGCGACTGATTAATAAGTCCTGGGTGTTTACTAGCTACTTGATTTTCATTTATTGCCTTCAAGGATGCTAGAAATACTGAAAAAAGGTTAATTTCATGGGGCCTAACTGTTTAATACTAGAGTAAGGTTTTCAGGAGACGTCCCCTGGAAAACACCAGTGTGTAGGAATGAGGCAATGTCAGATTTCAGCTTGTTTCTAGAACAGCAGTATTGTGGTTGCTCGCTGTTCATCCCAGGTTGCCAGAGCAGCTGTCACCAGGGGAAGCAGAGCAGGATGCCTCGCTCCCCTGTGCACTCAATCGAGTTTCCTCATGCAATTTACAGAAGGATAACATGGAACCAGTGGAAATCAAATATTTATAAAATCATATTTAGCTCATTACCTTGTGTTTCAGTTGAGAATTTTGGAATGAAACAGTAACTCTGACCTTGAAAAGGTTTGTCAATGCCTGGCAACCCAGTGCTGTGGGCCAGCAATAAGAGCAGTCAGTCATAAAGTGACTGAATTTCATCAGGCTTGTGTGTGAATACAATCAGAACTTCAGGGAGCTCAAATAAACATCAGATCCTTGATGAGTTAGTTCAGCTGGATCCAGCAAGAGAAACTAGCAAATCTGATGTTGCTGTGTAGTGTCAGGGATTTGCCTGCTGTTGACCAAAAGGTTTGTGGACTCGGCACAGGTCAGGCGGTGTGAGGCTCTAGGCTGGATTTCCACCGACATGTGCCGCATAAGTAAAGGCACATGCCACGGTGCGGAGGCTAAGACCTCAGCCAGACCCTTGTTTAATGTTAACTGGGATTTTATACACCATGTGTCCCACTGAAATGTTCGTGTAAGTGATGCTCAGTGTGGGTGTCTCTCAGAGCCCCTGCTCAGGAGAAGGACTTTTTTTGAAGCCAACCTACTGTACAGTGAGCTGTTCTGAGAAAGGAAAAGGTATTTCTTGGTGTGTGATACCCGTGCCCTGATCTTTGTGGCTTAAATGAACCGGGAGCCTCTCCCAGTGTTTCAGAATAACTTTGCTCTCCAAAATCTTCACCTCACCCTTTGCATTTCTGTTTGCTGTAGGCCATCGGGCGCCCACACATGCCTGCCTACTGGTCTCTGGGATTTCATCTCTCCCGATGGGGTTATGGCAGCATTGATGTCTTAAAGAAAACCGTCGATCGCATGCACTACTATGATATCCCATATGTAAGTACGAATTTTTTACTGTGTATGCTAATTTTACAATCCAAAGTGAGATGAATAAAATTATAACAGAGGAAAAGCGATTATCCTACAAAAAGAATTGTAGAATAAAAGGATATTCATAATCTTATGTAGTGGTTTTGCATGTAATATCTTTATAGTGTTTTAAAGAATGTTTAAAGCGGGCTTTCAACGTGAGGTTTAAGTGCCGCTCCCGGCTGCATAGCAGGTGATTCTAGTGTGGATTTAATGTTATGCAGCATGAGGTGCTAGCATTTAAAAAATAAATTACGGTACTTTTGATGCATATCACTGACAAACAGTTGCTAAACTAGGTCTTCTATGTTTCCATTTTGTCCATTGCTATCATGTGAGGTTATAGGAGCTGAATTTGGCCTGACACTTATTTACAATTATTATAGCCATTCTCTTAGGTTTCATTTCATATGTTAGTTACCTGTTAGAAATACAGTTGCATGCATTCTGATTTTCTGTATCAAATACTTCAATCATAGAATCATAGAATGGTTTGAGTTGGAAGAGACCTTTAAAGGTCATCTAGTCCAACCCCCCTGCAATGAGCAGGGACATCTTCAATTAGATCAGGTTGCTCAGAGCCCTGTCCAACCTGACCTCGAATGTTTCCAGAGATGGGGCATCTGCCTCCTCTCTGAGTAACCTGTTGTAAAAAATTTCATTCTTATATCTAGTTTGAATCTACCCTCTTTAGTTTAAAATGATTACCTCTTCTCCTATTGCAACAGACCCCCCTAAAAAAGTCTATCCCTATCTTTCTTATAAGCCCCTTTAAAGCACTGAAAGGCCACAATAAGGTCTCCCCGGGGCATTCTCTCTGCCAGGCTGAATAACCCCAACTGTCTCAGCCTGTCCTCAAAGGAGAGATGTTCTAACCCTCTGATCCGTTTTGTGGCCCTCCTCATGACTCACTCCAACAGTTCCATGTCTTTCCTGTGCTGAGGACTCCAGAGCTGGATGCAGTATTCATGTAATGTTTACTTTTAAAATGTTTAGGATGTTCAACATCTTGATATCGACTACATGGAACGTCGCCTAGACTTTACCTATGATAAAGTGAATTATGCAGGTCTGCCTGAGTACCTCCAACAGCTGAAGAAGGAAGGAATGCACAATGTCGTGATTCTGGTAAATTAATGATGTTGCTAATTATTTCTCCATTTATAAGAACTATTTGTAGAATAATGTTCATAGCAGTATCTAGGTGCTAACGCACGCATACTATTGTAGCAGATTTTCCATTTTTGTCATTTGTTGAGAAGAGCCAAAGGACAATTTCTCACAGATTTCATATTTAAATGTGTTGCATTTATCAGATATCTGTGTACCAGCACCATCTCTGTAGCATAATATTAAATCTTTTTCACTTTTTTTCCTCTAAATTATGAGAAATTTTGCCTCTGTTCAGGGCTGAGTTGATATAGGATTGCTTTAATACAATTCTTTTTCTGAAAAAGAACAAATGAGTTTAATATGCACACAAAAATAGTAGACCGATGGAAAAAAATCTACTGATAATCACTCTGGAGAGCTAGTAACTCCAGTTCATGTTGCCTTATACTTACTTTAAATCGATATTAACGTAGCAGAAGTTTTACTGCATGAAAAATGGTGGAAAACATATGTAGAACTTGTTATCAAAATTGATTTATAACCCAGTGAATGAATTTGAGCAGAAGTGAAAATTGGACATTTTCATCTTCCCCATCACTTTCTCCAACAAAGATTGCTCCTTCTCTCCAGCAAATTCCCCAACATGTCCTTGCACTGAAATTACTTTTTCTCACAGTAGCTAGGTGAGAGCCAACGGTGGCAAGGACATCGGAGGTCAGAAATTAAAGAAAAGGCCTTGATAGGTGCCTAAGACCTGGCCCAGCACAGGCTGAGGGAAGGATCGGGGTGGGAAGGCTCAGTAGAGCCGAGACCTGGAGCAGCGCACACAGGTGTGAAACATCGCCACAGAGACGGGAAGTATAATTTGTTCTTCATAACCACTAAGGACAGGATAAGAAAAGTGGTTTAAATTGCAGCAGAAGAGATTTAAGGTAGAGATTAGGATAAAGCTGCCCGTCTGCAAGGCGAGCCGAATGGGAACGTTAGGGACGGCTCAGGCTGAGCTGACCTGTAGGGGAAGGAGGAGGAGACAATCCCACAGAGACTCTCTAGGGACTTTTTGCTGTAATTGTAGTCTTCTATTTTCCGGCCTAAATGGTCAGCTTGCACCTTTCATTTGTGTGCTACCATTCTTATTTAGCAAAAATTGCCAGTCTCTCATCCTCCCACATTTTTCCGCTCATATACTTATTTGAACAAGTGTATTCTCTCTCAAACTTTTCTGCTAGGCTAAACAAACTGAAGTATTCTATTCTCTTTTTATGAGGTGACATCTTCAGATCTCATTGTAGTAGCCCTCCCTCATGTGTGCCCGTTTGAATGCATTTGCCTGTGTAGCAGATAACTGGATTTCTAGGGGCTCCGACTGCTGCCCCCGCAGTGTTTGGAGAATGGCAGAAAATTTCCTTCATTTTGCTAAAAACATCTCATATGACAAAGCCCCACATCATATTTACCTGCATTATATTGATGGCTCATACTTGTGAGGAGACCAATTAGTCCAGCTGAATCAAGAATGGACAGCCCACTAATGTTTGGGCCCTAAGTTGATCCAGTTCTCTTAAATAAAGGGCTATGTTCCTCACTTTGTCACGGGGGTCCTGTCAAAGGCTTGTGGGAAGAGAGACTGAATAGTAGAGTTCTAAATTGTGTGACAGTTCCTCTTTCACTTGTGATGGTATATTCGATATTTACTGGAGTCAAGATAACTGAGAGCTACTGCAGTTTCCTCATTTAAAAATCACATTACCTTGTCAAATAGATAGATAAAGTCAGAAGTTCCTCCCTGTCCTTATTTTTTCCTCCACAATTTTTTGTAAAGTTTAGCATATGACTGAGGATGGTCTAGTCAGCACCACAGATACCTCCATCAGTGTTTTCTTTTTAAAATACAGTTATGAGGTTTGCTGTTCTTCAGTCTGCTGCAGGGTTTTTTTTTTTTTTGGTAGTTTTATTAAAAATAGCTGTTCTGTATTTATTACTGGCCTAATCTTAACTTTGTTGTACTATAATTGCATTTGCTGTTAGGAATCTCAAACAAAACGGCACAGCCAAGTGATCAATTACATACTGATAACGGAAACAGCAGCTTATATAGTGAGTGCTGTTTGCCAGCAATTTGTCCTCAAAGATACATTCCCATGAAGGTCCCACTTCTTCTGCAGCTGTAAATCATGAGAAGCTCCAGGGAGCAGCAGTGAAAACAATTTCCGTCAGTGGAGGTCCAAGGCACGAAGTTTAAACAGTAACAGATTACGAAGTCACTCTGATGGAGAGCAACTTCAAGACAAAAATAGTCCAAAATTAACTAGATACATCACTGTAAATAACTAACCAAGTGATAGATGAGCACATGTGTTGTCAGGACTGAGTGCTTTTTCCAACTATGAGGCAGTTTAGGCTCCCTGTATTCTCAATTCTGCTCTAAAAATTATCTAATCTCCTAGAGCTGTAACATTAAATACCACCTGCCTACTTACTGGTTTATCTCAAAAAAGTTTGCGAGACATGAACATATCAGCAAAATACCATGATTTTGGGGTAGTTCTTCCTGTAGATGTTCTTGCCCTTCAGTACGTACATGATATTCACCTCCTTGTCATCAAAGTTAGGTTGCCTCCAGTTTTGCAGTTGCTGCTGGGTAAGACGCTACAGGAAAGCAGTCACGGTTTAGTGGGTGAGCTACGTTATCTTCTTACTTGTGAGTTTAACTTCAACGATGTTTTTAAAGCCCTTTCAGTTTCTCAGATGGTGCATGCTAGAGTAGTGCAAGGAGCTGTTGCTATAAAAACCTAAATTCAACAGTTAGGCAGATGCAAAGAGTACAAAACAATTCTTAATTCATGCAATGAGCTAATGGGAATCCAGATAGGAAACCCTTCTATCCTTCTTCCATTAACCTGTAACTAAGGACTGTCTTCTCTGGTTCTTTAGATAAGCTTGTGAAGTAGAACAAAAGCTGATCCAGTTTGTCCTTCGTTTTTAAAAGCTAATGGGACGTATAGGTTGCACTGGTAATGAAGTTTTCTGTTTTCACTTTGTTATGGATGCTTACATTTCTGTCAAACTCTGACTGTTAGCATTCTTTAGGGATGTAAAGCGCTCCTGCAAATTGAGTCAGGAGGTGGAACAGTATGAAGGGTTTCATTCTCAAGTGACAGCAAAGTCATGCTAACTGCAATCAAGGCAAGTGTAATCCATTTTGATACCAAAAGAACAATTTTCTGGTTAGATTTCCTTTGGGTAGTGACAGTAACGAGTGATTTCCCCATGTGTACCAGATTGTTGCCTCCCTCATGATGATTTCAGGAAACGGGCTTGGATTGCAGTCACTTAGTGTCATGTAAAACCTCTAGTAAATGGATTTGGGGGATATGTGTTCAGTCCTCCTCATCTCAGACTGCTATGGTCACAAGCAAAGTGCAGATCCTGAAAGCCAGCAGTATTAATACTGGTAACCTGCCTGAGGACAGGACCCTGAACTTGGTTGTGCCACCACCGCTGCAGTGGCTGGTTCCTCACCATCAGGAAGTCCAGTCCCCACACTTGCACCCAGTGCTGAGAGCCCTCCATGCCTACGGCCACCTTGATAGTAGCATGACCCTGTTACTGGAGCCTCTAAAAGCAGTCCTTCAGCACTCCTCTCTCCTGGTCTCTTTCAGAGGTCACCTCCATTTAAGGGAAATTTTGTCTAAGAACGTCAGTACTTGGTCATCATTGTTGCGCTGAATAATGTGCCTGCTTCAGCTGAGTCAGAGCAAATATATTCTTTAGAAACAAAGAAAGAAGTTCTAAAAGTAACAATGACTACAACGTAAAATGATAAACATTATTACTGAAGAGGAGCTTTAATGAAAGTCTTTGTATACCTTCCACTAAATCACGCTAAAAATAGAAACAGCTAGGAATGACATGAGTGACAAACTACTTAGAAGTCAATAGCAACATGCTCGTGATTCAAAATAATGCTTGATAGCTTTAACATTTTAAAGTCCAACTCTATGAGCTGTAGAGGCTAAAATTTCCAGAGATGAATTTTTATGGATGTGCATCAAAATCTATATTTGGAGCCATAGGTGGAAGTGTGTCAGTCTGGATAAGTGCTGGGTGCTCCCAGGACTCAGGGCAGACATTGGAGTTAAGGATGCTCAGCACCTTCTCTCCAAGAGCTGCTAAAAAGATGAGTTAGGGAAGATATAACAGACATGAACCTCCTCCCCCACAAACAACCCATAGAATGCACGAGAGGGTTTTGTTCTCTTTAGGATGATACTAAACCTGCATAATATATTAGATTTATGCACTGGAATAACCTTTCAGCTGAAGGAAACCAGAAGTTTGGATTAGGAGTAGCTAATTAAGCTGACTTCTTCCAGCCTTCAAGTCCCTTGAGAGACATCTTTTTCACAATTATAATTATTGCAGAAGGACAGTTTTCTTTTTTCTAAAGCTGAACTATCAAACAAGTTAAAAATATAATGGACACTTACACTCTTTATGGAGGTGATGCTGGAGATAGATAGTTGAACTGAATTTTGCACTTAAAGTAGGGATTTAGCAGGGGCTTTCAATTTTAATGTATGGAAGAATATGTTTTCCTCAGCAGCGCTATAGCTGTCAGAGCGCTTACGAGTAAATCAGGCAATTAATTTAGGCATTAAAATGAGCTTTAAAACATGCCTTTAAAGAAATTTACCATTTGGGATCAGATGTTTTTTGTTCTTAAGTTTACTAGTTAGATTTATGTCACCTTTTAATTAAAGTTAACTTAAATTACAGCACAAGCTATAAATGAGTGGAAGAATTGTTTCAGTGGCATTTTTCTCCATTGTGTTTCATAACTTCAAGTTTTTTGCCTTAAGCAGAACCTGAGGGAATAAGATAATCTAAGAGAAAAGTAAAGAATTCCCTTCTTCTAAAACAGCTGCAATCATCTTCTGTTCTAAAAAACACAAAAGCATATAGCTGCTCCCAATTAGGGACATATTGCAATGAGTGCTTATCTCCTTATAGTCCCAGTTGACTGCTAAGTAGAGTTGAATAGTTTTTCTTCATTCACTGACATCTCCAAGTATTCCTAACTTTATTACTTATTGGCATGGTGGACCACTATCTTCCCTAGGAGCAGTTTAGGCTCCATTTTGATGAGCTTGGTGACTACTGATGGCCATCCCTGAGGCAGAGAGCTGGTGTCATCAATACCACTGGCAGCAATGAGAGGTGGTGACCACTCCAAGCAGTGAAGGGGATAGGAAGGACAAGCTATGGGGTGTAAAACACTGTGGTCTTTGTGCCTGGGGAGAACAGAGGCGTCTGACCCCGCAGGCATGCATGTGTTGAGTTAGTCTGCACCAGGCTGGCATAAAACCCCATTGGCATAAAACACATTAGCATAAAACACATTGAATTTGAAGAGAGGGTTAAGAGGTCCTTTCCAGGCTGAATGTGTCCCAACTTCAAGCCCCTTGAGAAGTTTTATTTAAGTAATTTTGCATGTAGCTGCTGATGCTGAGGCAGCTGGAACAAGGATTGCCTTGGAGGAAATCCAGGGGCATCCTGCTCTGCCAAGCAGAGACCTGGGCTGGGGGTCAGTAAAATCCAGTGTCTCTTTAAAATTGGTTCAACGTAGAATGTCTCATAAAAAACAAACATTAGGGTATTTAATTATTTCACATCACTTTTGCTTTATACAAGACATACTCTTGAAATGTAGTTAATGACTTTTCCTAAATAATTATGTGCTCTTGACACTTACTAAATTTTAATGCTGTTTTCTTCCAATATTATTGTAATCTGCATTACGAACATCATCCAAATTGTTCTAAAACATACAAATAGAAAAGTAATTGTTACCTTTGAGATTTTGATAATGGAAAGAGAATCACTGTTTTCAGGACCCTTTCGTAACTAAGGATGAAGAATCAGGCACTTACAGGCCTTATGATCTCGGAGAGGAAATGGGAGTCTGGGTGAACAACTCCGATGGTGTAACTCCTGCTGTTGGAAAGGTTTGTTTAAATTCTCTGATGCATTTGGTCTAGTGCTGCTTCAAAGTCGTAAAGCAGCTGTGTAAATGAAATAAGATAACCAGTGGTTATACCTGTGAACTCCAGGCCTTGCCCCCCGGAGAATCGGTGTTTCCTGACTACACCAACCCCAGGACAGTCGAGTGGTGGACCCGTTTGTGCCTGGAGTTTAAGGATGTCCTTGACTACGATGGGATCTGGATTGTATGTTTCATTATATTTGCCCTCCCTTCTTTTAAAAAAAAGAAAATGAGACTTTTGACATGTGTCTTTCTTTATTAAAGGATATGAACGAACCGTCCAATTACTTAAGTGGCCAGTATCCTGGATGTGCTGATAACGATATCAATAACCCTCCTTACATTCCTAGTAAGTAAAGTTTCCTCGAGAACCTTTGTTTTTTTTAATCCTGGATAGGAAAAAAATTCCTTCTTCTCATTTTCCATCTTTCCCTGCTTGTGTCGTGCGTTCAGTTACATATTTGTTCAGGACTCGGTTGGCTCAGCTTTGGTGAAGTATCAAAGATAAGTTGCTTTCCTCTGTCACTGGAGCTGCCTTGTAACAGGACTAGAAAAATGGCCTTTCCTGCCGTTCTCTGGGCAACCAGTCTGCATCAGAGAAAGGGCAAGATACCTATATACTGTAACTTGGCTACAGATTTAAGGAAAGAGTAATCCTTTTGCCTTATCACCACCACTGCTAGTCCCAGGGATAGGCAGTCTCTGCTTTTTCCACAAACCATGGCAAAGAAGATGGCATCTCCCTGATGTCTTAATTCAATACCTTTTCTTTCTCTTAGGAAAGAAATTTTCATGGCCTTACTAGAAATGAGCTAAAAATAAGTTTAAAAATGCCCAAGCCTATGGGAAACTGATAGGAATGGGAACACCTCTTCCAGTAGCCAAGTTAATGACATGCTCATTCTCCCTCAGGAAGCCGTGAGTGCTTACAATCAGGGCTAGTAGTCCTGGCAATTAATCCAGCCAACATTTCCCAGGAAAGCCCTGCTGACTGAGCAATGCTAATATGCAGCAGAAAGTTGATACATAAACGAGTTATTGACAGTGAAGTATTGGAAATGTCCCCTTTCCCTTCAGGCTGTTGTACTGTCATGTGAATTCTTCATTTTATTTATTAAATCTCATTTTCGTCCAAATACAAGAGAAACATAAACATAACAAAAGCATGAAAAAAATACTATAAAAAGATTGTAAATTATTGAAACCAGAAGCAGAAGTTTTAATGAAGATTTTGATGTTTGCTCTCTTTGAGGGGAAACTGCTGATTGTAACTGTTGTATGCTGGTCCTGTGGGTCTTGTCATTGACCAAAGGCCACGAACTGATGAGACCTTTGCCTTGAGTTACCTCCATTTTTGTCAGCATTCAGAGCTGTAAAAAAAGTTGTGAGACTTTGGGGAAGATGGACAAAACAGCAGAGCTCCCTTTACCCTCACGAATAAAGAACTGATGGATGGAACCATAAGGCAGTTTCTGAGCCATGAAGCTGAGCTTTGTGACAACTAGAATTGCTGAGCTGTTATAAAGGAGTCAGAGACCAAGATATCTACATGATATGCAAGGACAACGAGGGATGCTGAAGACAGGTGTTTTCAGCCCAGTTTATCTCTCTGACTTGCTCCTTCTCGGGCAAGGATGCACCTACTTCTGCTTGCAACTCACAGTGTCGGTCTCACTTCTGCAGAATGCAGAAGGCATTTTTTCCAAGGCGTAGGATATCTGTTTTGAACCAGTGTTTAAGGGCTTTCTTTTATATGCCAGTTTATGTCAACACTGCGCATGCCCTTGGCTGTCCAAGCCCTTGACTGGTGTAGGTGTGAGGTGGGACCTAAGCTGCTTAGTCCAACAAGCCATTAGGACCTTTCTGGGGTTGACAGGGTTTGAGGGGCTCACTGTTGTCTTAGGTGACTGAATCTGTACGAGTCCCAATCTCTATGCCTCAGGCTTTTTTTCAATGCAGCCCTCAGCCTGCTTATCTAAATTATAACCACGATTACACGTAACTGTGGTTTGAACTTCTAAAAACAGATGTCCTTCACATCAATTTTCTATAAAACACTCTATACTGAAGATTAACACGCAATTGTAAAATAATCAGTATTACTGAGACAGAATACAAAATATTCAGAATAAGAATGAAGCATGAAAATACGACTCGTGACAGCTTTTTCTTTCATATTCCATCTTAATTTTATGGAGCTAATAATTAAGTGCCACTGGGACATTAAGTGTGACTTTCCCCAGAAGCTCAGTGTCTTCTTCTAAGCCATATCAGTCAAAGTTACTTGGAAATTGCCTATAAATTATGCTATTTCTGATGCAGATCAGCCACATTGGAGTCTTTGTGTCTAAAAATCCAAACACAAGGATTCCAGCTATGGTGGCACAGAAAAGCAGAGAGGTTAATGGGGTTTCAGGTACAGAGAAATGCACTTTGTAGTAATGAATGTGGCTCATTGACAGGGCTTTAAACTAGACTTGAAGGGGGAGGGGGATAGTATCAGGCTTGCCCAAGACAAGCTGAGAGCACCTGAAGAGCAGCAAAAAGGAATTCCAGCCATTCCAGCCAGGAACTCAGCTTCATCAGGGGCCCAATTTAAATGCCTCTATGCAAATGCGTGTACCATGGGGAATAAACAAGAGGAGTTAGAGGTGTGTGCACACCCGCACACCTATGGAGACATGGTGGGATGGCTCCTATGAGTGGAGTGTTGGAAGGAAGGATACAGACGCTTTTGAAAGGATAGGCAGGGGAGATGAGGAGGAGGTGTTGCCCTCTATGTCAAAGACCAGCTGGAGTGCATGGAGCTCCACCTAGGGATGGATGAGGAGCCGACCAAGAGTTTATGAGACAAGATTAAAGGGAGGGCAGGGACAGGTGACATTATAGTGGATATCTGCTACCAACCACCTGACCAGGAAGACCAAGCAGATTAGGTCCTCTATAGACAGATAGAAGCAGCTTCACGCTCATGAGCCCTGGTTCTCATGGGGGACTTCAACCACCCCAATATCTGATGGAGGGACAACACAGAAGCAATCCAGGAGGTTCCTGGAATGCATTGATGGTAAATTCCTTCTCCAAGTGGTAGAGAAACCACTGAGGAGGGTGTTATGCTGAACCTTGTTCTCACTAATAAGGAGGGGCTGGTGGGGAATGTGAAGCTCAAGGGCAGCCTTGGCTGTAGTGACCACTAAATGATAGAGTTCAAGATCTTTAGGGCGGTGAGAAGGGAGCACAGCAAGCTCACTACCCTGGCCTTCAGGAGAGCAGACTTTGGTCTCTTCAGAGATCTGCTTGATAGAGCACCATGGGATAAAGCCCTGGAGAGAAGAGGGGCCCAAGAAAGCTGGTTAATATTCAAGGATCACCTCCACCAAGCTCAGGAGTGATGCATCCCAACAAAGAGGAAGTCAGGCAGAAAAGCCAGGAGGCCTGCATGGATGAACAAGGAGCTCCTGGACAAATTCAAGCACAAAAGGGAAGCCTACAGAGGGTGGAAGCAAGGACATGTAGCCTGGGAGGAATACCGAGAAATTGTCTGAGCAGCCAGGAATTAGGTTAGGAAAGCTACAGCCCTGATAGAATTAAATCTGGCCAGGGACATGAAGGGCAACAAGAAAAACTTCTATAGGTACATCGGTGATAAAAGGAGGACTAGTGAAATGTAGGCCCTCTCTGGAAGGAAACGAGGGACCTGATTACCCAGGATATCGAGAAGACTGAGGTACTCAGTGACTTTTTTGCCTCAGAATTCACTGGCAAGTGCTCTAGACACACTGCCCAAGTCACAGAAGGCAAAGCAGAGACTGGGAGAATGAAGAACCACCCACTGTAGGAGAAGATCAGGTTTGAGACCATCTAAAGAACCTGAAGGTGCACAAGTCCATGGGACCTGATGAGATGCACCCATGGGTCTTGAGGCAACTGGCAGATGAAGTTGCTAAACCATTATCCATCATATTTGAGAAGTTGTGGCAGTCTGGTGAAGTTCCCACTGACTGGAAAAGGGGAAACATAGCCCCCATCTTTAAAAAGGGAAAAAAAGAAGACCTAGGGAACTGCAGGCCCGTCAGTCTCACCTCTGTGTCCAGCAAGATCATGGAGCAGATCCTCCTGGAAACTATGTTAAGGCACATGGAAAAAAGGACGTGATTAGTGACAGCCAACATGTCTTCACTAAGAGCAAATCCTGCCCGACAAATTTGTTGGCCTTCTATGATGGGGTTACAGCATTGGTGGATAAGGGAAGAGCAACTGACATCATCTACTTGGACTTGTGAAAAGCATTTGACACTGTTCTGCATGACATCTTTGTCTCTAAATTGGAGAGACATTGATTTGACACATGGACCACTTGGTGGATAAGGAATTGCCTGGATGGTCACACTCAAAGAGCTGTGGTCAATGGCTCAATGTCCAAGTGGAGACCAATGACATTCTTCAGGCGTCGATATTGGGACTGGTGGTGTTAACATCTTTGTCGGCAACATGGACAGTTGAATCAAGTGCACCCTCAGCAAGTTTGCTGATGACGACATCAAGCTGTGTGGTGTGATCAACACACTACAGGGAAGGGATGCGTGCACCCTCAGCAAGTTTGCTGATGACGACATCAAGCTGTGTGGTGTGATCAACACACTACAGGGAAGGGATGCCATCCAGGGGCACTTTGACAGGCTGGAGAGGTGGGCCTGTGAGAACCTCATGAAGTTCAACAAGGCCAAGTGCAAGGGCCTGCCCCTGAGTCAGGACAATCCCAAGAACAAGTACAGGCTGGGCAGAGAGCTGCCCCGAGGAGAAAGACTTGGGGGCGTTGGTTAATGAGAAGCTCAACATGAGCCACCAATGTGCACTTGCAGCCCAGAAAGCTGACCGTATCCTGGGCTGCAGCAAAAGAAGTGTGGCCAGCAGATCGAGGAAGGTGATTCTGCCCCTCTACTCTGCTCTTGTGAGACCCCACCGGAAATACTGCATTCAGCTCTGGGGCTCCCTACAGAAGAAGGACATAGACATGTTGGAGCGAGTCCAAGATCACAAAGATGATCTGAGAGAGCTGGGGTTGTTCAGCCTGGAGAAGAGAAAGCTCCAGCGAGACCTTCTAGCAGCCTTCCAGTACTTAAAGAGGGCCTACAGGAAAGCTGGAGAGGGACTTTTTACAAGAGCGTGTACTGACAGGGGAAGGGATAACGGTTTTAAACTGGAAGACAGTAGAGTTAGATTAGAGATAAGGAAGAAATTCTTCCCTCTGAGGGTGGTGAGGCACTGAAACAGGTTGCCCAGAGAAGTTGTGGCTGCCCCATCCCTGGAAGTATTCAAGGCCAGGTTGGATGAGGCTTTGAGCAATGTGATCTAGTGGAAGGTATTGATTCCCATGACAGGGAGGTTGGAACTAGGTAATATTTAAAGTCCCTTCAAACCCAAACCATTCTATGATTCTGTGGTCCTCCTATGAACTGCATCATACAGTAAAGTTCAATTAGGCAGTGAGATTCTTGCTAATGGAGAAATATTTACAATAGTGCATGTACCTAATTAAGTATGCAAAAGAATAATACTTGAGAATCTGCCTTCTTACTTTTTTTTCGAGAGGATTTTATAACATTTTCAGCTCTATCTCTAAAAATACATTGTATAAACCAAACATTTTTTTCTGAACTTCACATGGCATTTTCATGGAGGTTACCTGCAGAGGATGAGAATCACATTTTCCACACCAAACGGGCTTTGCCAGCATCTCCGTAATATGGGATCAAAGACCAGGCAGCATCTGTGCAACGAATTTGTGTCTGGTATTTCTTCCCCTTGGCTCAGCTGAACCAGTGCTGTGCCAGCGATGTCAGGGCTACCCCTGATTGTCAGCAAAGGCAAAAAGCTTCCGCTGCCTCCACTGCCTGTGACCTGCTGATGGAAAGAGTTTCTGGATAATCCATCCTCATGTGAATATATCCATTATAATCTGTCCTTGCCCTCTCCCGTGCAGCGTATCAGGCCATAGCAGATGACACCCTGCGGACCTCTGCTCCTCATGCTTTTTCCTCCCCTGCACACCTCCAACACTCCCCACTCTTTGCTCACAGTGCTGCTCAGGGCCAGGCTGTTAGTCCTCATGTCTTTAAGTCTTAGATGCCTCAGGAGAAGAGAGGGACCAGACTTGAGCTTAGGTGTGAATTTTGCCATGATAGAGCAGAATCGTGCTGCCCGCCTACATCTGCAGCTGACTGACACAAACCCAGGTCTTGTGATTTCACACAACCAGATGAGTTCATCTGAATTTCTGGCTTGTTGTGGGTTTTTTTGTTGTTTTTTTTTTTTTTTTCAGGATCTTTCATGCTAAGTAAAATTTGTCACTATATAAAAAATATATGTAGGTATATTCTTAATTCAGAAATGAAGAATCATAGAATCATAGAATGGCATAGGCTGGAAGGGACCTCAGAGATCATCTAATCCAACCTCCCTGTCATGGGCAGGGACGCCTCTCAACTAGATCAGGCTACTCAAGGCTCTGTCCAGCCGTACCTTGAACACCTCCAGGGAGGAGGCATCCACAACTTCTCTGGGCAATCTATTCCAAAGTCTCACCACCCTCCTACTGAAGAATTTCTTCCTAAGATCTAATCTAAATCTGTTCTCCTTCAACTTAAACCCATTTCCCCTTGTCCTATCAGTGGACACTCTTGTAAAATGTCCCTCCCCAGAAATTTTCTTTCTGGTTGTTACTTACTGAATACCTGATATCTGTACAGATGTTTTTAATTATTGGACATAAAACCTGAAATTAATTAGCAGTGTTTACTCAATCCTCTCACCCTCCTGAGGACACATGTGCCTGTCTGCAAGCAGGTGTTCAAGGCTATATGCTAACCTCTGATCAGCGTAGGCCTGACACTTCCCAAATCCTTTGGTGTTTTCACTCCTAAATGGGTAGAAATGTGAAGAGATCTGAACTGTGATGTATATAATTTTACAATGTTTTTTTATCATTCTCAGGCATTTCTGGTAATTCCCTGGCACAAAATACATTGTGTCCAGACTCCAAAGCTCTTCCTCTTCCCAAATCCTTTGGTGTTTTCACTCCTAAATGGGTAGAAATATGAAGAGATCTGAACTGTGATGTATATAATTTTACAATGTTTTTTTATCATTCTCAGGCATTTCTGGTAATTCCCTGGCACAAAATACATTGTGTCCAGACTCCAAAGCTCTTCCTCTTCCCAAATCCTTTGGTGTTTTCACTCCTAAATGGGTAGAAATGTGAAGAGATCTGAACTGTGATGTATATAATTTTACAATGTTTTTTTATCATTCTCAGGCATTTCTGGTAATTCCCTGGCACAAAATACATTGTGTCCAGACTCCAAGACTTACCTGGGAGAGCACTACAACACGCACTCTCTCTTCGGCTGGTCACAGACAGCACCAACTTTCCAGTAAGTTTTTAAGCATTTCTAAGCAGATTTCAGGTGATTGAAATACTTTCTAAAAGCTGCTGATGTTACCTGCGAAAGCTGTAATAGTATCTAATAAGAAACAGCCTTGTGCTTCGTTTTACTGTTTGTCATTTAGTAAGAAGTTTCAAAAAAAACCCCAAAGAGAATCTTGGAAGAAGAAACAGAATCCTTTCCAATTTTACTTTTTCTTAGCTAAGATCATGATCTACTTGTAGGGCTGAACACTTCAGCTTCTGCTTTTGTATGACTAGAGCAAGATGTTCCTATCCTCCCTTGTAGCTGCTCACGTGCAGCTGTTGCAGAAGCAGCCATGTGCGGTGCCAGGGTAATTTTTCCACCCCTTCATTACCGTGGCCCAAGCAGAGGAGTTTCTATCACTGCCAGTGAAGGATCCAAACTGCACAGCTTCCCTGGCTTTTCTGGAGCCGCCTCTGGTTCCTGGCAGGCAGCATTTCGCATTTTGGCTGGGGGCTCAGTACAGTCCAGGCGGGCAGAGCTGCATTGCAGCACAGTTGCTGTCGGCTACTGTAAAACTCATTCTGCTGCTGGGAAGCACTCAGAACTACCTTATGCAGGCAGGCTGTTGCTGCGAAGCTGGAGTGACAATGGAAAGCTAGCTGTTGGATTAAATCAAATGAGCAAATCATGCTTTTTCCAGCAGAGGCTGAGCTAAAACACGGCTAAGTTTAATACTGCAATGTAAGTGCCAAAGCAGGGGTCCTTGTGCTGGCTTATTTCAGTATTTAGCACTCATTTTCAGCAGTTGTATTGTGATGGCATCCAGAGGACATGGCTAAGTGAGCCTACTTACAGTGTTGATGCACTTGAATTTTTCATGCCAAGCCTGGGGGAAGGGGAGCACTGTGTAAAAGCCAGGAGCAGTTCGCCAGCTCTTGTGGGCCTGGCTGAAGAGCAGCCCAGCTTTCGACAGGAGCACAAAGCCCTCGAACCCTGCACCTTGCTGGCCACCCAGCTCAGCTAGGACGCATGAGAATTAGCATGGGTTTTGGACCCCTACACCCCAGTCTCAGCACTAGTCTCTCCACCCAGATTTGTCCTCTGCACACAGAGGTCCACAGAACTATATGCTGTCTTGATAACACTGTTTCTATTTAAACAGAGTTTGGATTTGCCTGTCTTCTTGAGCTGTTTTTTTGGTTTTATTCAGTCTCTGTGCCAGAAAAGGCAACTGTCTGAGACAAACCCTGTGAATTTAGCAGGAAAAGCTCCATGTGCTGGCACATCTGCCCCAGCCCCTTCAATGTATGCCCCATCCCAGCCACACCAACCTGGACCAACGCTGTTGGGATGGTTACTGCTGCACGGCTCCTTGCAGCCTCCCCCAAGGCTAGGAACCTTCTCCATTCCTACAGCACTTGCTTCCAGGGCTCCTTTCAAAAGAAACTCATATTTTGCTCAGCCAAACATAGAGAGTCCTTCAAGGCTGGAGAACACCACCAAAAAGAGGATTCGCTGCAAAGCTGGGAAACTTCGGTGAAGAATTTTTCATATGTATTCATTCATGTTTCTCAAACACATTTCTTTTCAAGGCTGGTTGTATACCCTCGCTGCATTCACTCTTCACAAGTAATATACTAAATTAAATTACTGACAGGGATATTTAGCAAACCAGCATCAATTGCAGGATATTGGCTGAAAATGAATGACAAGTTTATAATTGTATAAAAAACAATTCTAAGAATTATTCTAATGCAGCCAGAAAATAGGAAATGTGTCATCTGACCCATGTCAAATGTCTTGAATTTGGATATACGAACTAGCAGCGATCAGCTTGTGCACAGCTAAACGCCAAGAGTTATTTGCATAAGATAGTCCATAAATAATTTCAGTCAATGAATGCACTTGACAACAGTAGGACCTGTTCAGGAATAGTTCACAATAGATTGAAATTTATTCTATAAATTTCTTGTTGCAAATTGTTTATTTAGCTCTGGGTCACAGTTGAGTTGATCCGATGTTGCCCTCGTTAGCACTTGCATTTGCAAATGGAGCCAAAGACTTGTGCTGCACGGCCAGAGGAGAGGACTTGTACTCAGAACATCCACGAACTGGGTCTAAAATCCCATATATACAAAGCACATGGACTCTTGTGCAGTTATTGGGCCCTGCAGTGCAACTATGACCCAGAACCAGCAGGTCCTTCATGGTTCAAGAATTGCACCTCTTGCTGCATACAGCCCATAAGTTCAATACATTTAGGCTTGCCTGAAAGCTGCTGCATTTTGTGCTTCAGACACAAATGTTGAAGCCTTTTACAGGCTCTGTGCCGTTACGGAACCAATAGCGAATATGGGCCATTACAAATACGGATGACAGAACTCTTGATCAAATCTCATTAAGGAGAGGGAGAAGGACGTGGATGATGAACGGCATGACTAATATTTCACACTAGAATTTCTCAGATAATCTAAGTTGTGTTGCTCAAATTGTATTAAAACAGACTTGAATTTCAGTTCCTGCAATATGTAATATCGCAATATGTAATTATGTGCAGAGATTATTCTATGTTGAGGAATTTTGTAACACATTTATTAATAAGGCATATTGCACTTCCTTGATTTTCTGGTGATGCAGCAAAATTATTCTCAAAAGGCAAGGAAAAATTCATTACACTACTAATTCTGTAATGAAGCCTCATATATCAAACAATGACAGGAAAACAGAGGAAATACTACAAGGATGGGGTGACATTTTGAACCATTACATTTCTGCTTTCTGTATTGATTATTGCTTTTTTTAAAGACGTTCAAATATTGTTTTGATGATTTTTTTTTTCTTTTAATTCCAGGATATTAGAACCTTATTTGCCAATTCAAATCTCTAAAAAAATCCTATATTGAAAAAAAAATATTATACCGTTTTTTAGGAACCTGTAAGACATTAAATCAAATGTACTAATACAGAAAGGAAATTATGTTTCAATTTTTCAGTTTGAGACACTGTTGAGAATAAATTAAACATAAATTATTTTTTAGGAAGACTAAAAATACCTGATATAAATTGTTTTGTGGATCAGATAGATTTCAGTTTTTTATTTTGACCACTGAGTAAAACTTTCCATTAGTTGCAGTTTTGCAGCCACATTTTCACATGACTTGGGACCACAATAATAACTGTTTCATGAATAACACCCTTTCAGAAAAAATTGTGCCTCAAAGTCTAGGCTGATCATATATCTCTTTTGATTACCATTCTTATTTTTAATAATCTTGCATTTCTTTGCAGCATTGCCCAGCAGGCAACTGGAAAGCGAGCGTTTGTCTTGAGTCGGTCTACATTCGTTGGCAGTGGGAAACACGGCGGTCACTGGCTGGGTGACAACTTGTCTCAGTGGAAGGACATGCACCTGTCAATCATTGGAATCCTGGAATTCAACCTCTTTGGTATCCCCTTTGTAAGTCCGATGTCCTTCAGGCAGTTGCTGGCTCATGCAAAATATCACTTTAACTCGAGTGTTTTCTGAAATAAGCTGCTTGAGATGGCCAGCAGTAACAGCCTCCACAGCATAAGGAACTGCAGATTAAAAAAAGCTAAATGTCATCAATCTTGCCTGGCTGAAGAGAAACAAAAATAGCACTGCAGCATTCAGATTAAATCACTGCATGCCATCCAGAACCGGTCTCTTTATATTATGTATTCTATCACTGAGGTCCCTGCATATACTTCTGGTTTTGCAAGGTGGGCTGGAGAATTTGTAGAATTATTAAAATACTGCCAGACATTCCACCATGATGTTAATGCTCTAGGAGCCAGTACAATCTCAGTCCTGGAAAAACTCGTATCATTATGGAGCATTCTTATAAAGCCATCAGAAATAAGTATCTCTTTCTGAAAATTATTTTTATTAACAAACTTCTGTGGTTTCTCATATTTGAGTGTCAGTCATAAACACTTATCCAATGATTTTATTTTTTATTTAGGTCGGTGCTGACATCTGTGGGTTTGGCTCTAACACTACCTATGAACTCTGCTTGCGCTGGATGCAGCTTGGCTCTTTCTATCCATTTTCCAGAAACCACAATTCAGAGGGAAATAGCGTAAGTAAACAAAGTTACACAAAGCTGTAGCCTATGATTACAGTAACGATGACGGTGATTTTTATTACTTTCTCAGAAATTAACCTGCCATTCTCGGGTAAACTGGAGCAGCAGGTGAAAAGGAGTGCTGCAATGAGAGCACTTACGAGAGGAATTACACAGTGAAGTGTAAATTTTTCCTATCCATAATGTAAAGATGACATAGAAAATATGTAGTATCTAACATCCGAAAGCCATGCAGAAATGTGTACCACGTACTCTGATTGACAGAAAATGGTCTTCCCACACTGTTGGTAAGATTCATCCCCTCCATCTTTTACCTGCTGAAGCCCAGGTTTTATTTAAGAGCCAGTGAGTGTCAGTACATCTTCCTACTCCCTTGTTTCCTTCAATATTTCTTTCAGTACTTCTGTAACTATAATAGGTATTGCAGGAAGGGGAGAGAGGGCATTATACACCATCCTTGCTGTTTAAAAGCAAGTTTCAGAAAAAAGCCACGGGTACAAACTCCTGACAAACATGTGAGAACTTCAAGGAGAGCCATCGGTAGCGACAGCATTATCAGCCAAGAAACAACAAAGACTAATGAAGGCCAATGAGCCCATGAGAAGAATCAAAAAGTGCAGTCTTACCCCAGACCTGTGCCCTGGCTTCAACTTAATCGTAAAGTCCTTTCAAGACTTATCTCAGATAGAAAGAAGTATCGGATTGTTTCTAACTATGAAGAGTTTGAAAGTCTTGCAGCCTTTGTAAGTACACTATGTTTATCTGCAACCGCGATGAAATGCTTCTGCTAATTCAACAAATGTCTTTTTTTTTTTTTAACTTCTGTAAGCTGATTCGTGTGATGCTGGAGCTCAGGTTATTAGCTAAACTTCCGTTTTTCTTGAGTTGCATCATCAAAATATTGCAACATTTACACCTCCAGAAAGACCTCTCTCTATGCATGAAATTATGCTGGATATTCGGCAACTGGGCTAATGCAGGAATAGTAAGATATAGTGCTGCCATTAAGAGGGTCAGGAATTACTGTAGATTCCTGAGATATGCCAAGACATTTCTCTCTAGGAGAACAAATGTCTGTGAAGCATTAGCTGCTGCTGTTGATGAATATGTTCTATCATCTACCTCTCCACTAAAATTAGAGGTACCTTATCTATGTATGTTTGCTTGGCCCTTTGGGCATGCAAACGAGGTCTGACCTGAGTGAGTGGGTATTAATCACATATGCACAATTTAATAAGCAGGAACAGAGCAGTGGATCTATGTGATGGGAGCTCCAACTCAGTGTCGAGTGAATGACAGAAGTAACAGAAGATACGTTTGGTTTTATTGGATTACTTAAATCCATTTAAAACATTATGTTCTCTGAAAGAATTGAACAAGGCATTTTGGGTGACTCAGCATCACCTAAGAAGTCTGACTGGGGTTTTTTTGTGAACTTAGGGAATATTTGTACAGCATCAGAATACTGGTAAAAATATTGTGCAGTTTTTGAAATAATAGATAAATGCTCCAGAGCTCAGAGCCAACAGGGAATATTATCAGTGACTAATTCTGATGTAAACATAATAATGGAGAAATTTAACTTAAATATTGAGTTTAATTATTATTAAGTTAATGTTAAAATAAAATCTTAAATATCCACTTTGCCTAATCCATTGGGGATTTCAAATGGTTTAATTAATACTTTTCTTGTCTGAAAAGCACTAGATAATATAAAAAGCTTTGTTACTTCTGTTCCTTTTATGTTTCATTATCCTTGGAATTCATCATACATTCTTCAATTTTAATGAGAAAACTGAGTATTATGGGAAAATTTTGTGAAGGAGGAAGGGAGCCATGTGACTCAGCTGACTCGGTTTAGCACTGGAAATGGTCAGACAAGAGGAATTAAAGGAGATATAACTGTTTCCTGTGTCAGCACTGCCTCGGGCTGTGTGCTCCGCATCCCATCGCAGGGGAGAGTCAAGGTTGCCTCAAAGTAGATCAGAAGCAGCCAACGAGTGTAGACAGATTGTTTAAACCTGCCCTGTTGATGGTGGGACCCAGCATGTGTGCCTTCTCTCCCAGGAGAACATCACTGGCAGTGAGGAGGTGGGTGGCACTGCTGATGCGTGGGTGTTCCCTCGGTCAGGGCATACAGTGGATACAGGAGGAGAAATCAAGTTTATTTGTATGGATAAAATGTCTTCCTCACTACACACAGTGACTTTGGTCACTCCTGTTGACTTCAACAGGGCCATGAATTTGTTCTTACTTTTAAATAGATTTGTCTTTATGTTTTTGGTGAAAATAATTATGCTTCTGCCTTTGTTTTGCAGATTATCAGTCTTTCCTTTTTCCTGTGTTTTACCTTCTTTGTCCCAGAGGGCTTACATCTCCAGGATAAACTGATTTCTAGAGACAGGGTGTCTGTTCCCAAGCACAGACACAAAACCCCAGCTTCCCTCCTGTGATGAGGTTATGGGCAGTTGCAGATGGCTCACACACACGGTGGTGGGACTTGATCTCTCTGAACTCACTGGAATTTTTCAAGTTGAAAATATATAGATATTAGTTTGGTCATAAAAGATGTTGTTTTGAATATAACTTCCAGTTTGCAAATCAGTACTTTTCCTTATTTAAACATTGATGTTCATAGGATTACATCAGCAACACCTTTCCTTAGGTTGCATGCAGGTTGAATTTGCAGTCCCAAGTTATAATGCTCGGTACAAATCAAAGCTTTTCCTTAACAGGAACAAGACCCAGCAGTGTTCGGAGAAGAGTTTGCCAAGATAGCTCGGGCTACGCTTCGGATCAGATACTCGCTGCTGCCATACTTATACACCTTGTTCTTCGAGTCTCATGTTCATGGAAACACGGTGGCGCGGTCACTGATGCACGAGTGAGTTTGGAATCTCTTTTTTATTATGTTTTATTTACGAATGTAGTTGAGATTCTATGTATAAACTAATCAATGTCTGTTTGATACGGTCACTAATATTATTGCATGCTCTCTCTTAAAAAGAAGAGAGTTTTACAATGAAATCTAATCAAATAACTCTTAATATATGCAATGGATTTTCATTACAATGTAGCCTACATTTGTTTTCAATGAAAAATTAAGTACGGAGAATTCTGAAAATTTCTTGTCTTAGGCAAATATGCAGTCCTTTTTTCTTTAAAAATTAGGAGTTACATACCTGTGTTTTATGTACTTGAATTAAATCTATGAAATCAGTATTGTGGTCCAGAATGTCAAGAGTGCTTCATACAGAGAAGGCTCCATTTTTTCAATCACCCGCAGCGTTTGCATTTTCCAATTTAGTGCTTGCATCTGCATGCTGTGTATGAAACCTATATCCATGTCCACAAATTGCACGGAGAAAACAGAGTTAGAGATATTTGAGTGTAGAAGCAGGTGCAAAACCGAGATTAATAAATACAGACTGAAAAAACCCTTGGAAAATATGACCTCAGATTTTTGGAACAACTCATTTTTTCCTGTTTGGAAGAAGCAGGAATCAAAGTGAGATTTAGTTTCCCTTTCAGCATCTTTTCATTAGCTTTTTACCCGCTTTTGGTAAATTTTCTACTTCAGAATGCTTTATGCAAAGACTTGAGCAAAAGGAGTGCAAATAATACATATAAAAAACTACTGCCCAAAGCTCTGACACGATTTAGTCTCATTGGTGGAGGCTACATCCTGGACTGTTTAATGTTCCTTTTCCCTTTAGGTTAAAAACATTTTGATTAAAGGGTAAGGCATTTTTTGTAAATTAAACTGAGATTACACTAAAGTGCAGACCGTTCCAACATGGAAAGGGAATGCACAAAACCTGTTTTACCTAGAGTGTAACAGCTAACTGATAAATTTTAAAAGCAATATCCTTCCTCTTCCTACTCTGCTACCTTATTAAACTGGGTTACATTTAGGAGAAGTTTTACAGGTACTCATGTCTTACAAGGGGCTGTATGCTATTTCAAGTATTTATTTTAGCTGTATTTTTCCTTAATGAGATTTGTGTTAATATTGGAAATGACCGAGTTCATTTTGGCATTCATGTTAGCTGATCTCTGCTAATACAGAATTATTTTAGTAATGTTAAAACTGCCTTTCTGACCGTTTCCAGCATACTTTACTTGTACTCTATTTGGGCCACATCTACATCAGCAAATTTCCATATTTGCTTTGATTTGAATTGTAGAGCAGTGTCAGATGCACTAGTGGAGACTTCCGTTGAGTGAAACTGAGCCAAAAGGTGTGCTCCAGCCTTTGACGGAAATTTAGTCAGTGGTACCAGACTGGAATTACTAGGAAATAAAACCTCTAAAAAGCATGTAGGGGGTGTAGGCATCAGGAGATCAGCACAAAGTGTTTCACTACCCAGGTCACATCCCAGCAGTGGGCACATCACTTTCTAATGTTGCCGTAGCTAGATCCTAAAGTGACTTAGAAGTATTTCTTAGTATTATTAGTTAATTCTGGTTACTATTGTTATTTAATGAGCATTTCTTTCTGTTTTTAATTAATACTTGTTGGTTTAGTGGGTCTGCTAAAGTAGAGAAAGTGACTTAGACACTCACAGGAAGAGAAATGTGGGTTTGAGAGAGAGAATTGAAACAGAATTTTTGATGTATTGATGATGGAATTTTACATCAAATTTTTCCTTTATTTGTAACAAACACAAAGGAGCGCTAAAAAAACTGCACTCATCTTTCAGGTGGAGCTGTTATGAGTTCACAAGCCTCACTGTGAAAACAACTCTGTCTGGGCAGGTAGTCTCCAAGCAATAGCTATTTCATAAGGTCATTTCAGATTTTTCAGTTCGTTTCAAATATTTAGGTGCTCGTTCCAAATAACAAACAAGAACAACATGCGGGTATATTCCTATAAGCGTTTAAGGTGCCTCTGAGGCTTTCACTCAGTGAAACAGAGGCACCAGTAGCTCAGCTGTCCAAAAAGACTGGGAGGTGGTAATCCATTACGAGAAGGGAAAGCTCTGCTTAACGGCTGAACAGAAGAAAAAGAAGACAGAAGAGAAGACAGCATCTAACCATAGGAAGCATGTAGATGGAATTAAGCACCTTTCATAGATCACAAATATGTCTTAATGGGTTATATTTTCAAAATGGGGAAGCTCATTTGTTTGCTGAATTTGTGCTCGTGGTTGCTATAATAGCAAGAGAAAATAGTACTGAATTAGACAGAGAGATGCTTGTTTACACATGCAAATAAGATCGACTTCTCTTTTGTCATAATTTCTTGATCAGCTTTTTCTTCTGAAATCTTTCACATCAGTATTATAATTTTATTACAGTGAAATTCAAAACACAGAGAAGCTGTTGAGGTGTCAAGAAAAACTGATGTTTTATATTTTAAAAACTTAAAGACAAGGTAATTCATCAAAACCACATCCCACTTTGAATATTTACAAAGCATCATGACAAAATGCAATAATGACCAAGATTAAGGCATCCAAAAGAGGTATTGTCTTTGACAGAAAAAGAAACTGAATAAATTGATGTTCCTTTCAGGCAGAGCCTGAGGCATGCCTTCAAGAACATTTTTTCCTAAGTTCCATGTACTCCCCTGAACTTAGAATATTTTAGAAATCTGAACACCGAATAGATGTCTTTTTATTGCCTAGGTGTTTGTGCTCATTTGGAGTAATTTCTGTAAGTGTGGGCTGGGTGCAGCGTGTGCCTATGCCCTAAGCAGGCCGGGTGTCAGAGCAGGGCACCGACACTGAGCCACTCTGCTCCTGCCAGCATACAACAGAAACCTGTCTTTAGACAGAGGAAGCCGCAAAGTCAGTTAAACAGACACAATAAATAAATTTTTAAACAAATAATGTGTATGTCCTTAGAGAACAATCCGTTAACATGCAACAGCCAGTGTGAATTTGTCGAAAGTGAATGATGGTAAACCAGCCCAGTTGCCATCTTTGACCAGGCAGAAGGGTTGTTGGATGGGAAAGGGGGCAGAGGAGCAGAGGAAAGCAGGAGCTACAGGGTACCTTGATTTTAGCAGGGCTTGGGACACACTCCACGTGACCTTCTTATAAGCTAGCTAGGGAACGAGGGTCCATTATGAATTTCCTAAGAGATAGCCTTACAAATAATTGAAAGCCTATTTAAATTCTCAGGGATTTTATGGCAGATGAGTGGAGGTTCCTGAGATGGGGAGGATCTCTCCTCTTTTCCAGGTGCTATTCAGTATTTTCATTAGCTGATACACGGTGGAATAGAGATCTCTTCCCAATCTGGCAGATGGTGCCAGGTGAACGGGACTGTAAGCACTCCAGAAGACATGATCAGAGCCAAAACTGTTTTAATCCATTGAATAAAATGGACCAAATTTCCTAAGTTTTCATCCATTCAGGAAAGGCAGCTAAAAAGTGCAATATGTATGAATGTTGCTTTGTGTTCTCCTGCAAAAGATTTCTAACGTGAATCTGTGAAAGGTGCGGGAAGCCAAGTCCAAGGATTTTCACAAATACTTTAGATACCAGAGCACAGTGTAATTCTTCCGAGTTCCCTCTCCTGCTCTCCTGGTCCTGGCCCCTATCCTGCTCTTTGGCTCCCTTGATCAAGTCTCAAACCACTGGGCAGAAATTGAGTTAGTTGTTTTTCCATTGCTGCTATTCTGAAAAGAAACCAACTCCAGCACTTCGTGAGGGTTCTGGTCTGCTCCGGTACGGTAGGCGTAACTGTAATTTCTGAACCTCTGTCCAACTTTTGGCATTCCCTCAACCAGAATAAATACTTGGTGGTATTGCAGGATGCCTTGAGGAAGTAAATTTCTTGTCACAGTGAGTAATATCAAAATATTCTGCAAGTTCTATAAAAATGTGAATTGACATTACGTATCTGACTTTCAACACTAGATTCACCTCTGATCAGCAGACTCATGGAATAGACACTGCCTTCCTCTGGGGACCCGCTTTAATGATTGCTCCCGTTCTTCAAGAGGCAAGTACTGTAATTAAAAAATGCCATCATACTGGAATAAAAGAAATGAACTGCGCCTAGGGCGTTGGATGACATTCAGAGCATGTTTGCTCATATCCACCCGTTTCTTCCCTCCGCCATCAAAGCTTGCAGAATGCATTTCTGTGCAGCACAGACAGTACAGAGCTGCCCAGTGCTTGAAGTGGGAGGATGAAAGGGAGGGCATGGCATTTCCCTGCTACTCCAAGCGTCAAATGGATGTAAACAGGCTGGATCCTGCCCCTCGCGTGCTCCTGTTATTGTGCTGACAGCTCCCTCCAGGGACATGCAGAGTGCAGTAATTGTCGAGCTAGGAAGAAACAGGCAAATACTAAAGCAAACTGGTTTCCATATTACCACTTGTCAACAGTGTTTTGGAACTGCAGCATTTCAAGGGCTATGCCAGGAGTTTCACAGCATCACAGGCACACATAGTCATTATGGAAATGGTAACGACAATATTAGCTGCTAATATGACAGGTTTTATATAGCAGCATTTTCCTGTGGGTGTGCTGGGCACGGCGCTGTGGTCAGGGCTCTCACCGCTTGGCTGGAGCAAGGATGGTGTCTCTCCTTGCCCCACCATTGGCTGCTGACAGTACCAGAAAGGTACATCTGAGCAGTCCTAAATACTTGCATGTGATGTATCCTAGAGCTGTTTGCAATCAGTGTGCTATATCAGAATATCTGATACATTTTCTAGACACTGCTGATGATCAAACATACAAACAGGCCACTGTTAGTCACCTTTTTTTAACCAGCCCTTGTGCCTCTGTGAATTTAAAATGAAATTCTTGTCACTGCGCCTAAAACCATTCTGACGCCACTGAGGTGCTTCATTTGTCAGTCTTTCGTCTTCAGACTCCCCCAGGTTTCTAATAGCTGATGACTAACAAGGAGATTTCACAGGGTCTCAGACCAAGATGATGAAAGATGTGAGAGAAACCTTGCCATGAAGAGAGGGTGACAAGCCAGGTGACTTCCTGAGAAGTGGTGAATGAAAGAGAACCATATAAGGATATATAAAATGATAACGGGTCTAGATTTGGAGTTCTTAACGTTTTTTTTGAGGACTGGAGCACAAAAGGAAGGCCGGGTGCATGTGGCCTGATACGAGAAGTAGAGCTTTGGAAGTGACATGTTGCTGGGTCTTGCGGTGGGAGGGAGGTGGCAGCCAGGACTCGTGCCACCTGTCAGGGTACAGGGCAGAGGTGAGCTGTAAGCCCCTCTCTGTGGCATTGCAGACAAGCAGTGATGACTGTGTCAAACTGCAGGATGACATCCACTTGTCTAGAGAAGATGGCTCAGGGACAGCTTTCCCTTCTCTCCTCGAGTCCTAGGGTGTAAGCAAGCGAGACATCCCTCAAAATTAAATCAGGGACCTGTGTTACACACTAGCTTGTTATTTAACGAGTCATGAAGACTAGGCTCATCACGATTCAGATGATGGTTACACACTTCTCTGCAGACCAGAATATCCAGACTTGTCATAATAACACAGAGAAAATATGGAGAGAGAGGCATCTTGACTTTATAGGGGTTTTCCTTCAAGTTTTCAAGGCACTTTTTAGATTAAACCTACCTGTAATTGTTAAACAGCTAGTGAGATCTAAATGACCGAGCAAACTACCCCAACCCTCCTTAACGCAGCACTAGGACACTTTGCCTGTAACACATAGTTCTGCCCACGGTGGGAGACAGGCTGCAGGACTAGACAAATTTCCAGTTTAGCAATTCTTGTATTCTAATGTGAGATGTGCATACTTGAATAAATCAGTTATTTCTTACTCCTTCTATTGCTTTATATATATACATTAAAAAATTTTATATATATATATATATATATATATAAAAATAAAAAAAAATCCCTAAAATGTCAAACAGTATGTTTGCCTTAACTCTTCTCCTCCATCTTTGCTTTTCATGCTCCACCTGCTGCTCCCTGGAGTAAACCTTGGGGGTAAGCCATAACTCTGCAAAGGGGCAGACACCTATGTTGAGAATCAAAATTAATCTGTGAGAATAAGAAATTCGTGACAAAAAAAGAAGTATGTTTTGATTCCAACTTTTGCTGGAGTTATTAATTATTAATTCAAAGTACCTTTAGTGTGATTTCACCCCTGCAGCAATATGATACAATGCACGCTGCAAAATGAAATACAGTAATTGTGCCATTAACAGCACATTATTTATTATTATTATTTATCAGCAACTTCAAATTGTTGCCAAGAAGACAAACATCTGTGTATCCTTCTTGCCAGATCTCACTCTCTGCCTGTTTTTGCGACAGGAACGGTGCAAGAAGCACTGAGCCGCGGTGTCCTCGCACCCCATCATCAGATGTGAAGTGCTGTCTTGCCAAGGCTGCTGTAGACCTCACTGGGATTGCTCAGATGTTAGTGGAGTGCACCTGGGCCAGTTCCATTTGCAAGACCTAGAGCTATGCACTAGACCGAAATGATCATGTAACATTGACTCATCCCATGAAATGGCAGTAAAACCCCTGAAATAGGATAGGCTCCTCTGCTTAGCCTTATAGATTAGCCAGCACTAGTCCACTGTTACGATAATAACTCAGCCATAATATCCAAGGTTTGATGTTATTAGAATATTCAGCATACATCTCTCCGTGCGCAAATACAATAAAGCTAATGTAATATCAGAAATGCAAAAAGAAAAAAGACTTTAATCACTTTATAACAATTACAGGGAGCAAGGTCTGTGGATGTGTACTTCCCTGAAGCACCATGGTTTGACTACTATACCGTAAGTATTTTTAAGATTCAGTTTCTCGCATTTTTTACATAATTTAAAAGGGTACAATTCCAGTAAAATAACTTTTAGCAATGTTCAGCAGTATTTTACCTCAGCATCTGTGTCCAAGAAAACTAGAGCTCAAAAAGCCTATACTAGGCTGGCCGGGAGAGTAAATTACACAGCTTTCAGCAGCATTTTATTTTCTATTTTTGGTTTGTAAATCTCTAACACACAGAGAACTGAATTTTCAAGAACAACCTAGAAGTTTGTGCAACTATCAAGATTTCTTTCTTCCCCTCCCCCGCTTCCTTTTTGCGTGTTTTAATTCTTGTAATGATACATTTCCCTGCTCAGAAACAGAAACCCGAGTCATACTCCTGAGAACACGCTGCAAACCATTTTGTGCGTGCAGTTTTGCACATGCATCACTTCTGACACATTTAGAGAGCAGGGTAAGACTCCCCTCAGAAAGATGCTTCCAAGAGATACAGAACAAGCTTCTCTGTGGAAAATGCCAACCTCTTCTACTTTCAGAGACTACAAGTTTTGACCTTTCAAGCACCATCATCCCCAGTACTGCATTTCCAAAAGTGCTCGATTTCAACCTAACTACACTCCACTGCAATCTGCAGGCTGAGACCGGCGTTGGCCTCAGCAGGAGTAGTTAGGCTGATGCTAAGAGCTTTCAGAAATGTGAGCCCAGAAGCATCAGGCTGTTGTTAACTACCCTGAGCGATGCTGGCAGAGGAGCAGGCAGGACAAAAATGCTCTCAGAGGAAGCTCAGACTTATTTTTAAAGAAGTTTGATCGTTTTCAGCATTCAGCTGGTGTCCTCAGATGGATGTTAATCTAACCCTTTCCCTTTTCTCTTTTAATAAGGCCACAGCACTGCAGGGTGGAGCATTTCGTTCAGCTGTTCTTGTCGTGGTTCTCTCTGAGTCCCCTTGCTGGGCTGGGCACAGGGACAGCAGCGCCAGTGTCCCTTGGCATTAGTAAAGCTCCCAGCATCTGGCACGTACTTGCCATACACATGGTGCTTATCCAAAAGCTTACCATCAGTTAGAATTCCATTTACCAAGGGCAAGAGCAAAGCCTTCCTGTTATCTGCCCTGTGCGCGAGCCTTGCCTGGTTTTGAGGCATTAAAGCAGAAAGGGCTGATGCAAGTAACTAATGCTAGTTGTCTATACAGATAGGAATTTCACTCATTGAATGCTGTAATTACTTTTTGAAAGGGAAAGACTTGTCCTAAAAAGAAAATAAAATCTACAGTTTACATTCCCAAATGATTATGAATCACTTACCTTAAACTGAAATCTGACAGGCTCCATATGCATAAAAAGAGGAAGTAAAAGTTTCTTTTGCTTTTTGCTCAGTGTCTTGATGAGGGTTTTTTTCACAGCATATGGAATAATATACCATTTTAAAGACGATTTGCTGTCTTTCATTCGTGATGTTTCTCTCTCATGCATATGCATAGCTGCAGGGGCTAGATCCTCTTTCACGTTCAAAAAAAAAAAAAAAGGAATAATACCCCTGAAATCCACTTTTCTGTTTGCATTTTCACTGATGTAATTGAGATGCAAATGTAATTCTTGGTCTATTTTTCAGTGTTATGTGGTCACAATGTATAGTGCCTGGATTTGAGTTTTTTTTAACTGCATTAATTTTTGCGGTAGGGTCATAAACTGCCAAGTGCCTGGAACAAGAACTATACTACTGTTGCTGCTCCATTAAGCAAGATCCCTCTGTTCATCCGTGGAGGCTACATCCTGCCAGAACAGGAACCAGCCACAACCACTACTAAGAGGTAATGTCATCTATGTCTGTCACCAAACAACCACGGTGCAGGTCAGACCCACAGACAGCCAAAAAAGCAATCAAAAGAAGTGCAGAAAAGAGGCAATCTGCAGCTCCCAGCTGCCATCTCAGGTGACAGGCACAGTATTTTTATCCCACTCTTTACTCCATTGCATTAGGAGAAGTCACCACAGAGATTCATAGATTCATAGATTTCTAGGTTGGAAAAGACCTTAGAGATCATCGAGTCCAACCATCCCTAATCCCCATTAAACCATATCCTCAAGTAGATCATCCACCCTATTCTTAAACACATCCAGGGATGGGGACTCAACCACCTCCCTGGGCAGCCTATTCCAGTGAGATGACCCACATCATAGTTTGCACAGCTGAAACCTATTCCTGGCTCTGTGGTTACACTTGGAAAAGCTTTTGCACCTCTTACTGCCACACTGACCTACTGCCAGTCATTCAAATTGAAGATATGCAAGGGGAAAATGCAAAACTCTTCTCCTTGGACGTATTTATCCAATGCCATGGACAAAGTGGAAAAGCTCAAATCTCTTTTGAGGAAAATGATTTCCCCACACCAATGGGTAATATACTGGCCTCACATTTGAACCATGCTCAGAAGCTAATGTGAGTAGTGAAGGAACGGAACAGCACTGTGCAGCAAACAAACCAAACCAAACCAAATGACACGACAGTAAGGTAGCACTGGCAACCAGTTGCCTCCAAGAGTGCCCAATTATCATACATTAAAGCCACTGAGGAAGGGGAAAATTGATCACACAAGTGCTCAAAAAGTGAGAATTTTACACTTCATAGGTACAAGGCAAGGTAAACATTTCATCTTCATTTCAGGAGCCATTTTGGTGAGCGTGGTTGTCATTCTTCTGTTGTGGCTTTTTTTGTAACCTTAAAATTGGTATTAATTATGTTCAGAAGATTTTACTAGATAACTTGGAATAGTACCCGCCAGTTTGTACTGACACTTCTCAACGTGCTTGTCTACAGCCGTCTGAATCCATTGGGGCTCATTATCGCCCTGGATGAACAAGGAGAAGCTTCTGGGTCTCTCTTCTGGGATGATGGTGATTCGATCGGTAAGACTGGTTCCCTGCTGCAAAGCGGTGTCTGTATACAGGGTTCTCCTCAGGCGCCCTTTTCAGCAGTATGATGGCACTGACTCCTGCTAGAAATGGCTGGAGAACTGACCCTAAGTTGAACATTACAGAGGTGAGAAGCAGATTGCTCTTGAATGAGTGTTTGGATATGTGAAAGGCGTGACACTGGGACCAGCTGGTCTGCTAGAGAGGGCAATCACTCATGTCGTGTTCCCCTGAGATCACCCTAACAAGACTAGAGGAAGAGATGAAATAACCCACAAATCATCTCAGGCTGATGTTAGCCACTCTCTACAATTGATGTGAACTGATTATGGATTTTGTTCCCTGTTTTGACGCCAATCCTCCTCATTCTGTGTTTTGACAGATACTATTGAAAAGGAGAACTACTTCTTGGCTAAGTATACGTACAGCAAAGTAAGTGGCAACATACAAGGTGCCTACAAACGTACAGGCAGTTGTATTTTAGTGTAGCCATTGTAAGGTGCTGATGTCTAACTCTTCTCTGGAAAGCTTTTTGTTCATAGCTCAGCCTTTAAACCGGGTAAGCTACCTAATGCTTTCATTTACAGACAGCTACAAAATAATCCAACTATGATGCTGCAGTTTTGTGTTTGCTTCATCAAGTATCACAGTGAAATATCCTTAATGTCCCTGCTGTGATGTGAATCTGAAAATCCACTTTTTCAGCACAGATATTTTTCTTTTTCTCTGAATCACTGCTTCTGGGAATGAGGGACCTTTTCCTTGTCTTCCTCCTGTGAACACTTCCAGTCTGCCATCAGAGAGAATGCTGTAGGAGAAGGCTATGTTCCTCTCTTTGGGATATCGCAGCAACTTTTTAACTTAGATCACTTGAAGCTTGCATTTTGGGTCACAGAATTACATAGTCTCACTTCTTTAGCTTGCGTTTCCTCATCTGACAGCATGGAGATTGCTCCCATGGTGGGTCTCCCGCAGAGCAATTCAGCACGTTACTGGCAACCCATGGTGCTGATCAGATGCTCCATGCAGCACAGAAATAGATTAGCCCAGGGTCAGTGCGCTAATGCCTTTCACACAGAACTCGCTTCTGTGCAGACATGTCCTGAGAAAGCTCAATAGAAAAACCCAACAGTTTCAGTTGAGAAAAATACAATAAAATGAATCTACTAGAAGCTCATTAAGTATACGATAGTAAGTTGTGGGAGTTATTGTAAAAAAACTTAACCATCTTCAGCAATCTACGCAGATCATATTTTATCTACAACTCCAGCGTCCGGTAAGAAATACGATACTGTATGGAGACTGTGGCATGGTTTTCACACTGTGTATTCCTAAAAGTCCCAAAGTAGTCTACAGAAAATGTTCAAAAGAATAAAATTGTATTAACTCCTATTGTGATATTGCTCTTAGAATGTCTGTCTTTCAGGAGTGAGAGCAAGCCAGGATAAGCCGATGGGTCTTACTGTGTAGTCTTGTATAGTTGTGAGATATTTTTCTGCAACTAATACCACATGTCTAGACTTTAAATTTATTTTTTAATTTGTTTTATTCTTGATTTACCAAGAAAAAAGTATTTCTTCTTCTTCAAAAAAAGGACATTTCAATGGTAAGAAGGAAGAAAAATCACTTCAGCTTTCTGTAGTCTGTGTATAGTAATTTATTGCAGGAAGGCTACAGAAAAACAATATCCAGTTTTATATTAAATTCTGATCTGTGCAAATTAGATTCTTGATTCACTGGCACTTCCATTTCTCGTTGCTCATATTTTACTTCTCCCTGTAAATCCATGACTGAAGTCCCTATCAGCATTCCAATAATCTCTAATGCCGATTTTTTATTATGTGTTTATAAAGAAAAAATCCATGTCAAATAGCAAACTGTAAAGGTATGTGAAATGTATGAAAGTCTTGGTATTTGCTGCACATTTCTATATTGTTAAAAAATTGTGGATGAAGAATTTAATCACACCTAGTTTTAGTAGAACACACAAGTTTTGATGCCTAAGATTTACTGATAAGGTCTGATATCATAGCATTTACTCTGAACCCAGCACAGAGTGTTGCACTGATAACAGCTACAGATTTAGACCCTCTCAATTATATTTTCATTTAAACAATCCAGAAATCAGAGAAGAATTCAAGACTTATTTATTAATACAGTTGTAATCACTAAGTTAATCGTTGCGCTTAGCTTACCGCATTTATGTGGCCACCTTGAGTTAGCTCTCCTGCTTTAGCCTCACCCGAGACAGCAATAAATCACTGTAGGGAGGTGGTCTGTCTATATGGAACCTCCCTCTATGCTGGAACTCTGTCAATGTGGAGAAGACACCATCTATAAGTACCCTAACACATTCTGCAGAGGCTTTTAGAGACCTTTCCCCATTTGCTCCATAATAACCAGCATTCCTTATTTAGGCAGTTTAAATCAATGTGATGAAGATTAGCCCTTATTTTTAGTGTGGATGCCTGAAACAAGCAGTCTAAGCACAGCCCTAAGTTACAAATACTGCGATCTAGCTTCTGCTCCCCTCCTACCATGCACCATTGAGATAACATAAGCTAATTTATGCAAAAGGTTCCATCATGGGTTTCTCCTTGGCATATTTTTAAAAAGTCATGATTGCATAGCAATTCATCATTTCCTGAACAGAGTAATTCATCTTTATTTCCTTAACAACTTTGATCACATAATAAATTCAATGATTCCTCTTCATTGCTTGTATGGGAAATTACTGTTGCTGGTGATCCAAATGAATTTGTTTAATGACTTTGTATGTCCTCTTGGTACATCCCTAAATACAGGATATAGAGTAAATAAGGAGTACAACAAACAAGGCTCTGTGGACATATGGTGTTCCTTCAGTGTCCTTAAAGCTGGCACATAGCAGAGATTTTTAGCAGGAGCTGTGGAGATGTGGGCCATAAATAGGGGCAAAATACCTAGTAGCTGATGTTTGTGGAAGATGCTAACGGTTTAAAGCAGTTAGTTGTAGACGTTAATTAAATCTGCCTGAAGATCACTATAATTGAATCTCTGTATCTGGATTTTGGCTTTGCATATGCCACTGTACGCAGCAAATGGATAAAAGAACCAGATTTGTATTGATTGCGAGTAGAAAAATCATGTTCAAGAAGATTCCAAATGAATGTTGTAAATGCTTTTTGGTTTCTTACTTTGTTAGTTTATAATGATACATGAATCCTTTCTTATATGAAAATTTGTGTGGCTTATTTTTCCTTTATGGTCTCAGACTTTAATCTCTACATTGAAGACATTCTATAGGTTCATTGACAAAGATGAGACGACAACGGTAATAGTATGCAGTTAAGTCATCTCCAAAGAGTTGTCGTGGTCCTAAAACGTTCTCTGTGGCTTTTTCCAGGGAAACCTGAAGACAGAAATACTTAAAAATGGCTATGAAGGTGCTAACACTCTGAAGTACAACAAAATTACGATTCTTGGCCTGAAACTGACACCTCAGGCTGTTGCTCTGAACGGAAGAGCCATCCGTGGAGATGCCTTCTCTTATGATCCGAGTGGGGTAAGAGCTGCACTGAGCAATTATGGAAAACCTTAGGGGAAGGGAGATAGTCAACAAGTAATAGAAATAGTTTCTTATCCACACCTCTTTACATTTCCAAGTATAAGCAGCCATCAATCCTTGATACAACAGTCTGAGTTGGGGGGGGAAGGGAAGGGTCAGCAAGAGCTGTTCTAGAAAACTTTAATCTCTGCTATTGCACACACACTCGTTCTTTCTCTCATTTAGTGTCTGCCACTTAAACAAGTTTTTAGACTAATGAAATCATGAAAAGAAGATAAAGCTCCACAAACTGGGAGGAATGTTAGCAATTTTACAGGCATTATTGTCATTCAGATAAAATGAGAAAACCTCTCAAAGTTATGTATCAGCTGCTGAAAAGAAGTAGTAGAGGTATTTTCCTACAACTACTCAATGTCCAAAAATGCTTACAGCGTTGCTGGCTCTAATGAGTGTCCCCTTTACTTCAGAGGAGGGAAAGGTGAATGTTGTCTGTTGCTGTATGTTTGTTCCTAAGAAACTATTGCTGCAGCGAAAAAACAGTCACAGTTTCAGCATCTTAAGGTGTTCAACCTCAGTGTCTCAGCTCGAAATGCATGACTTGCTTGTGCAGTGCTCCTCCTCTGGCACCAACAAAGAGACACCCCAGCAGGGACAGACTGGACACCCCTGCAGGGACAGACTGAACACCCCTAATGAACAGCTGTCGCAGTCTCTGTGGTCCCAATTTTCCTTCCCACAGGAGAACAGACAAAAGGAGTAACACTGAGTAAACTTCCCTTGCTCTGGTCACTTGTCCCATATCTGTCAGCAGCCAGCAAGCCGAAGTGGGTCATGTACACTTGGTATGAGATGTGATACGCACATCTCAGCACTGGCCTGTATCGAGGGAACTCCCAGTACTAGCACAATAAGGTGCCACAAATTCATCATTCAATCAAAGATAGCTGAGGCAACAAGCAATGGATGTCATGTCTTATGCTACTCTACTCATTTGGCCTAAAGATTTAAGTTTATTTGTAGCCAACATGTGATCCCCATTATATGAACATTGTTTGAACATTTATTTTATTGAAGGAATCTGTAAGGGAAGAAAATTGCTGAGAAGATATTTCAGCCTTGGAGAATCATAAAACACTCACTTTCAGAGATGATATCATAAATAAGTGTAATCAGTATTGCCTCAAGGGAAGAAATTTTTTAACAGCCAAACTGCCTCTAAGCAAATTGGAAGCAATATAGATGTGGCAGGATAAAGAAAACACTCCATTGAGATGTGCTTGAAGGCACCAACCACAGAAATCCAGAAGATTACTGCATACTAACAGCATCATATAAAAAAGATGATTAAGAAAGACTAAAAAGCTTGTTACAAAAGTATCATTTAAAATTTGATATAAGTGCAAAAGATGATTGCTACAGCTTAAGAACTACTTCAAATAAGGGAGAAAAAAACACCAAGCTCCTGTGTTAGGAAAGGTCCAAAACTGCACAAAAATTACATTGCTTAAATCAGACAGTAACCTAAACCGATAAATATATTCCTCTCACTACTCTAAGAGATTCAGTCAAACCTCTCCCACCAACGCTGTACAGATGTTGTAGCACCATTACTATGATTTCTTATGTTTGACTCTCTATTAAAAAAAAAAAGCACTAGCAGCTTGGGTTTAGATCTTGAAAACTTACAATCCATACAATTTAAAAAAAATTAACTAAATCTAAAGGGAAAATCTGCCATTTTCTCACAGGCTTAATGAGATTTTATATTATACATACTGTATCATATTTTAACAAACACAAAGACTGCACTGTTTGAAGGGATATAGTAGAAAGTAACTTCTATCATATCACTTTTGCTTTATGGAAAGCAAATTTGACTAAAAGCAGTTCTAAAGTGTGTAACTGAGCCATAGTTATTTGGACACAAATAGAAGTGGTTTACTTAGTAATAAGCCAGTTCTTTCTCTCTGATCCATGTGGTGCTACCCTGATCTGACATTTGTAATATCACAGAATCTTCCTATTGTTAGGACTCTTTATCTTCCCCCCTGTCTCGGAGTATCGTACCCTAAGAGACACAGGAACCATACTGTAACTGCAGCAGGGATGCAGGAGGAGCACTTCTGTTGACTGGGCTTGTGCTGACAACAAAATAACCTGGGCATAGGAAGATTCTCCTTCTTCTCCCACTTGCATCCTCTGCTGGGAAGCTCAGGGAAGTTCCCAGTGTCTGTAGTTCCCAATGTCCATGCAGTAGTGCAGTCTGGAGCAGCCTTTCTGGCTGCCTGGAGCTTTTTGGTTGGTGTTTGGATGAGGTTGCCGTATTTTTGTGTCTGTATTTGAGTAATAGGAAAATCATTCAAGAAGTGGACTTCGTCCTTACCAAGCAGCAGTAGAGAACTGTTTGTGATGAAAGATGAAAACAGTACAGATTTTGAAGAAGTGATCTAAGCATAGAGTGATGTTAACATGAATTCGTGGGTGGGCAAAGAAATTACTAAGGGGGTGTGAATGGATATTATGCATTTTAAGAGATTATTAATTCTGAAATGTAAAGATAAAACTGAAAATGGAAATTATGCGAGTAGCATAAAATACATCGAATTTAACATTGAACAGAGAGAGAGCAGGACAGGTATTGTAATTATAATTTCATATTTAATTCATGTTACTAATTAATTTTAAACTGTTCCTGAATTTCTAAAAGGGATGTTGAATTGGATACAGCAGTAGAAAGATGCGTACTGCCACCAAGTCAGTCTTGCCTACCAGATGAGGTTAAGTGAATCATGAAAGTCTAAGCTCAAGTTTCCCTTCTTGTTCTCTGTTTCGAGCTAGTCTTTTCTGAGTTAACATAAAGTTGTTCATTACTTTTGTGTCTTTTTTTTTTCACAGAAACTCACTTTACAGATTTCTGCCCCACTTACTCAGGAACTCAACGTTATGATTTACTAGAATGGTTGGAAAACACTGACATAATTTAGCATCCTTGGCCCTCAGATATTGATCTTACTTTGATTTTAATGTAAAAAAAAATTTAGCCATTAAAGCATTGTTTATGCACCTGATGACTCTTCCTTTCCTATATAGTATTTGTTAACTCAGTATTCCTCCAATAAAATTTTCAATAGTAGTTAATAAGTATTACCATAAACTGATGTATATTCAAAATAGCATGGAAGAAATCGTCCTGAAAGTTCTCTCTCGCCTCAGATGGAGATAATATTTGGAATTGTTCTTGATGGGACCATATTCTGAACAGCATACACTGGTGGATTTTCCTCAAACCTAGGGTGGAAAAAGAAAAAAAGGAATAGCAGGATCATAGAATCATAGAATCACAGAATGGTTAGGGTTGGAAGGGACCTCAAAGATCATCTAGTTCCAACCCCCCTGCCATGGGCAGGGAAACCCTCCACTACACCAGGTTGCCCAAAGCCTCATCCAACCTGGCCTTGAACACTTCCAGGAATGGGGCATCTACAACTTCTCTGGGCAACCTGTTCCACTGCCTCACCACCCTCAGAGTGAAAAATTTCTTCCTTATATCTAATCTAAATCTCCCCTCTTTCAGTTTAAATCCATTGCCCCTTGTCCTGTCACTACACACCCTTGTAAAAAGTCCCTCTCCAGCTTTCCTGTAGGCCCCCTTTAAGTACTGGAAGGCTGCAAGGAAGTGCTTTAAGTACTGGAAGGATAGTCAGCTTAACTCACATACCGCTGTTCTGGAAGAGGTGATGTAATTTACCAAGAGAATGCATGGGAAACACAGCTAACCAAAGCTTGGGGATACCTAGATGTTCATTGTAATTCAGCTATTTCTGACTGCAGAATGATCTCTCAAGACCATAAGAAGCTTCAGCTTGTGGAAATGGCTCTAAAGAGTCACTGTTATTTTAATTATATAATACATAATCCGACATTTATACAATGTTGTCGTGGTTAAGCCCAGCTGGCAGCTAAGCTACCACACTGCCGCTCACTCACTGCTCTCTCTCAGTGGGATGGAAAGGGTTAAAATGTAACCAAAGGCCTGAGGGTCAGGATAAGAACAGGGAGAGATCACCCACCAACCATGGCCCCGGGCAAAACGGACTCAGCTTGGGGAAAAATCAGTTTCATTTGTTGACAGTTACTTCAGAGGGGATAAGGAGAAACAAGTCAGATCTTTGAAACACCTTCCTCCCCCGCCTCCCTTCTTCCTGGCTCTACCTCTCTGCCCTCAGTGGCGCAGGGAGACAGGGAATGGGGGTTGCAGTCAGTTCATCACACACTGTTTCTGCCATTCCTTCCTTCTCAGGGGGAGGACTCCTCACACTCTTCCCCTGCTCCAACGTGGGGTCCCTCCTTATGGAAGACAGTCCTCCAAGAACTTCTCCAATGTAAGTCTTTCCCACAGGATGCAATCCTTACCCATCAGATTGCTCCAGCACGGGCTTTTACCACAGAGTCGCAGCTTCCTAGGGAGCTGCCATCTGCTCTGGTGTGGGGTCCCTTTCCACGGACTGCAGATGCATGTCTGCTCCACCGTCAGTCTCCAGCAGCATGGGGAGCCCTTCCCATGGAGACAGACCTCTACAAACTCATTCAGGCACAGGCACCTCTGCTCCACTGTGAGGTTCTCCACGGGCTGTGGGTGGGTCTCTGCTCCACCGCTAATCCCCACAGGCAGCAGGGGGGCCGCTGCCGTCTCGCCATGGGCTGCAGGGGAATCTCAGCTCCGGCACCTCCTCCCGCTCCATCTGCACTGACCTGGTGTCTGTGTGGCCGTTTCTCTCAGGTCTCAGTCCTCTCTCTGCTGCAGCCGCAGGGGGCCC